ATAGTCTGCTCTTCACATGAGGGACCTCCATTTCCTCAGGAAAAACAGATTTAAAAATTATTCTAAGTAAATGCCTAAAAAAAACTACTACAAATTGTCATGGGACGATGTCTATAATGTTATGTGAAGAGCAAACTATGGTGATGATTTTTTATAAAAGAAAACTATGAACGTGCAAATATACTGTCACATATTCCCTGTCCTGCATACACAATAGAGAGTTCTGGTGGCACTGGCAAGGAAATAAACTGCAAAGGTGCATGGTCTGTATCTACCAGCTGCTCTGAGGGAGAATGATGGGCAATCTCTTCTTGTGATTAATAACTGCTTCTGAAAAACTGCTGGAGGGTCAGCTGTGTTCACTTCCAACTCAAAGATACACAATAAAACATACCCACTGTGCTATGTCCACAAATATATAAAAAATGAACATAAAGAACTTCTAAACAATATAGTAAAGGAGTAGAGATCAGGGTTCAATTCCCAACCAGCATCCCTCATGCACAGTGACCATTAATCTATCAGTGGAGACTTGCATACTGTACCATACTAAACAGATTTCAGTGGAGTAACAAAATTGAGACATGGTCTTACCTCATGCATGTTTTTGTTATGTACCATCAAACTGGTAAGAACTTATAGATGACCCTCCAGTGGGTTTTCAGAGGCAGTAAATTTCACAGGAGGAAACTGGTTATCTTTCTCCCATGCAGCAGCTTATGGATATGAACTGAATGCCACTGGATTGGCAGCTCAACTCTCTACCACTAAAGCCACCTGAGCCATGTATCAGGGGCCAAACAGAGGGCAGCAGTACACTGACCTGATGGAGAAAGCGACATAGAAACAATGAATAATTAATGATAAATTCTAGAAAACAACAAAATAAAAGATGAGACGAATTGGAGGTAAAGTGTTCTAAAATCTTTACAAGGCTTTGGAAAGAGACATGGCAAACAGTAAACTTTTGAAAGTACATGTTGTTGTATAAAGTCAAGACAAAACTGACTCATAGCTGACCCTCCAGCGGGTTTTGAGAGGTTGTAAATCACATAGATGATTGTACATCTTTCTCCTGTGGAGGAGTTAATGGATTCAACTGCCTGGCTTTGAGTTGGCATCGTAATTCTTCACCCACTTTTGCTGTTGTTGTGTACCACTGAGTTAGAACTGACTCTTAGCTGACCTTCCAGTAGGTGTTCAGAGGCAGTAAACTGAATGGGAGCAGACTGCCCATCTTTCTCCACAGAGCAGTTGGAGGATTCAAATCAAGTACCTCTGTGTGAGCAGCACAACTCCTATTACTAAGCCACCACAGCTCCCTCCTCACCCACTGTTGTGTTGCACACCACTGAGTGGGAAGCGACTCATAGCTGACCCTCCAGCAGGTTTTCGGAGACAGTTTAATCACAGAGGAGATTACCACCTTCCTCCTGTAGACCAACTGGTAAATTTGAAGCATGTGCCTTTGGGATTGTAGCGTAGCTCCTTACGACTAGGCCACCAGAGCCTCCCTTTACCAACTCAGCAACCCTATCTATGTGTTAAAAACAAGGCTTCTAACAGGTTCAGAGTGTTTTTGTCATAGATGAAAACAATAGACACTGCAGTCATCAAATTTCTTGCATGTCAAATTCTGCATCAGTGGCACCCCATTAAAAACCAACAGCCAAACAGTTGGGCTGCCTGCTTCAGACTACAGTGCCTTACAATCTGTCCAGTGTTCAGATTGTGCTAAAGAAGTAAAAGCCGGTGTGACACTGAAAAAAAAAAAAAAAAAAAAACCAACAGCCAATACAGATTCAAAGAATCTTGTTCAGCCAACACCTTTGGGCAAGACACCACTGCCTATTTCCCACCTGGGTCAAAACCCACCAGGCAACAGATTTAATTGCTATGCATCTGCTGACTTTGTTTCCCTCAGCAATAACTAAACTAGCTCTGAAACTCTTACAAGTAGGAACAAGGGCAGAATATATACTTTCCAAAATTGTTAGTGCAGAGAGTTAAGAAAAAACTAATTTTTAAAAAGGCAAGATTGGATGAAAAATAAATTACACAAATACATCAGACATAAGCAATATAAACCCAAGGAAGTCCATAATCACAAAAATTCTGTTGAAAGGCACAATAATGGTCAGAGCATAAACTAATACATTCATTCTGTATCAAACACTACTCTTTACCTAGATTACTATTCATTGCTATTATTCATTACTATTCATATGAACCTTATGAGATAAATCTATTATTATATACAATTTACAAATGAGAAAACGGAGGCTAACCATCTCAAAAGTGGCAGAGTCAGGACATCTGACTTTAGAGGTCTAGTGACCAATGACAAGTTCCAGCTTGTTCATAAGCATGTTCACTAGCATTAAGATATTTCTGTAGTGAAAAAAATATTTCTATAGTGCTATTATCGTTCTTGTTTCCCCTTATTTTCATCCTCTGTCTCTATCCATCTTCCTTAATTCCATAACCTTTTTCCATACCCACGTAAGGATTTAAATATATATTTGTAAGAGAGCTCTGATGGCCTGTTGTTTTTGTTGTTATGTGCCATCAAGTTGCTTGCGACACATAGCGACCCTATGTACATGAGCTCTAAATGCTGTTCTGTCCTGTGCCAATCTAGCCATCTCAAACGCACTTATTCCCACCGCTCCAATCACAGAATCGATCCATCTCATCGAATGTCTTCCTCTCCTTCGCCGCCCCTCCACTCTGCCAAACATGATGTCCCTCTCCAAGGACCAGTCCCTCCTTGCAACATGCCCAAAGTATGTCACACGAAGCTTCAGAATCCTTGACTCCAAAGAGCATTCCAGCTTCACCTTCTCCAGGACAAACCTGTTTGTTCTAGCAGTCCGTGGTATATTCAACACTCGTCTCCAGCACCACAGCTCAAAGGCATCAATTCTCTATCAACCCTATTCACTGTCCAACTCTCTGATGCATAGCACGTAATTGCGAAGACTACAGCCCAGATCAGGTGCACCTTAGTCTCCAGTCTGATGTCATTGCTCTTCAGTACTCTTGAGAGGTCCCTCACAGCTGACTTTTCCAATGCAATTCATCTCTTGATTTCCTGGTTGCTGTTACCAAGAGCTGCATAACACAAGTTGTTGATGACTCTTCCACCAATCCTGATGCCACATTCCTCTTCATATAGCCCAGTGTCTCAGATGATCTGTTCTGCATACAGATGGAAAAGGTATGGAGACAGAATACATCCCCGACGGACCCCCTTCTTGATTTTGAACCATGTAGTGTCTCCTTGCTCTATTCTGATAACTGCCTCTTGGTCCAAGTATAGGTTTCACATTAGCACAATCAAATGTTCTGGGATTCCCATTCTTCTCAGAGTCAGCTTGTTGTGATCCACACAGTAAAAAGCCTTTGCATAGTCAATGAAGCACAGATAGACATTCTTCTGGTATTCTTTGCTTTCTGCCAAGATCCATCTAACATTAGTTATAATATCCCTAGTATCACGACCTCTTCTAAATCCAGCCTGCACATCTGGCTTCTCTGAACAAAGGTAAACAGTTCCAATTCACCAGCTGTTCTGAGGAAGAAAGATAAGCAAACTCCTCTCCTGTAATTCAGAGCCTCTGAAAAAACCCGGAGGGTCAATTATAAGTTAGTTTTGACCTGATGCCAGACAACAACAACAACATAATTTTCCTTAAGAAGAAGTGTTTCTGGTCACTTCTTTTTTGGTCAAACTATGACCACAAATCATACTACATTATACTCATGTCATTTTGCTACAATGTGCTCTTTTTTCTTTTAGAGCTGTTTTCCAAAGAAAAGGCATGGAGTTAACTTGTCCTTAAAAAGAATTACTTATGATATCGCATGCTTTGAACATAATACAAATTATTCAACTTTCCTTCTGATGGACAATCATGGTGCAGAATGAATTTTATGATCACTGCAGCAGCTTAACAGTAAGGCTTCCTTGATCTCACTTTTGGTTTCAAGATTAGTTTACATCTCCTGTACAGAGAACTTTACCTACAATGATTGTTAGTGTCACAACAGTCTCAAGATATAGGCAATGTTACACCTATTCTGCCAATGTCTAAAACAAACGTTTCAGAATTATTAAAGAAGCTGCCTAGTACAACACAGCCACAAAGTAGGCTCTAAAGTACTTTATAAACTTCTGTCTTCCAAAAAAGACGTCCTCCAAAACACAGAGATTCTGCCAATATAAGATTCATCTTCATATTAAGAGCCGTCCATCGCCCAGATCTCGAGATGCAGCGCCCAGCTCAAGAATTTGAGAGTACCCCACCTTCCCAAGTCTCCTGGTCAGTACAAAAACAATTTCCAACTGAAAACTTGCCATTTGAGATGCCGGGAGAAGAAAAGAAATTTCTCGGAGATGCAGCGAATCTACAATCAGGGAGAACCATAACTTACAGAGGCTAAATACTGGGGGACCAGAAAAGGAAGGACAGATAACTGCAGGAGTGCACCGGTTACCTTTACTGTAACATAACCAAAAACCATCTGGGAGTGAAACGACACCTCTGTCCCTCCTGGTACCAACACAATTGGGGTCAGATACATTTACCTGCAAAGTTCTTAAATTTTTTGGTCTTCAAACGCTTTGCTGTACATTACACGTGTCCGGCTTGGAGAATTTTCGGCCCCTAAACCACCGCCTTCACTGCAAAACCAATCATGATGCACTGCGTCATCACTGGGCGCCTGCAAAAAAAAAAAAAAAAAAAAAAGAAAACCCAAAGTAATAGGAAAGAGCGCTAATGGCCTGGAGACCCAGAGAGCTGCTGTTGCTATGGGAACCCTGGCTAACGCGTGCCTCTTCGCAAAGCCTCACGGGAGTGGTGGTTCGAGCGCACCTTACCACGAGTCTTCTAAGTGGCGAAGGAACTACAATTCCCACTGTGACCAAGAAGCAGCCTGTGCAAAAGGCGCGGGTATGGTAGCATTCCCAGAGATCTGTACCTGAACCTGGAAAAATGCAGCTGGCGCCCCAAGAAAAGTCGGCCTCAGGGAAGAGGACGAGATTGAATGGCTGGAAACGGTTCACAAGGAAGCCGAGCCCTAAGGTGATCCCTGTCGAGATTTCTAGGGGACAAGGACCAGCTTTAAGTGCTGCCAGGCCACTGAACCAACTCAAGCCCCTGCTCCTCTTTCTCTATCATCCCACTGGGGCATCCTTTTCTGAGATGCTCCTGCATTGACTGCCCGGTAGTCTAGGGTTGTTAGGAGCTTCAGAGCCTCAGAACTTTATAGCATTGGTGGGCAACACCGTGGAAGTACTGGTTCCATCTAACGCTTTTCTCAAAATAATAAAATTTCAGTAGTCCACATCCCTGTGAAGGGCATGAGCTCCCTCCCACTTATTTTAGAAAAATTCCTATACATTTCAACTTTTGATGATTTGCAAGCAAAGGGAATTGCTCTTAAAAGGAGTAGAGGAGAAGGGTTAATTTTCACCCAATTTCTCCTCCTCTTATTTTCCCATAAAGGATCTAAAAGGAACTCAGGAATACAAGTGGAATCCAAATGTATCAGTATTTGATTCGCATGGGCATTTACAAATTCAACCAACATTCAGAAAATACTGCCTTATTTTTTCTTAGCCCTTTTATTAATCAGCATCTAAGGACTATCTGACACCCCATTTTAAACTTGAAGCATATGTGAGTGTCATGTAAAGACACAGTCAGGTGATGTACATTTTCTCTAAACTTGCTTTTTAACAGTTAAAAAAGAAATGTTTTAAATTTAAATGAAAGTACCAAAATGGAGAGAATGTTCAGCTTTCAGTTCAAGAACAGTTCATTTTATCAGTCTTTTTTTCACCCTTAACACTTTCCTAAATAACATTCAGTAGACATGACCTTACTGAGGGCACTAAGCAACCAATTGTTTTTGCAGTTTGTTCTAAATATACACTGGGAATATTTCAGTTGGTGGATATCTTGTCCCAGATCCTTAAAGAGTGGAGACTGGATCCTTATATGTGGGAGCTGCATTTGTTCCTGTAAATTGCATAAAGATTGGATTGGATCGGAAATAGATTATCAGTATAGACTTGATGGTGAACATTAAAGATTAGGGAGAATTTCTTAGGACACTAAAGGATTTTTCCTTTTAGTGTTCATCATTATTGCCTAGAGTATAGTTGTGTGGCTTTTTTAAAAAGGCTTCTTTCAGTTGTATTTTAACAGGATCTAGTCGTTTCAGTGACAAAATTATTAAGCGCTGCGGGAGCATTAATTAGTACTTCTAAGTGCTTTGAAGGTGATTATGTAAGTGAAGTATGTATCTTTCCTACTTTCATGTGTCAGCATACTAGTTTGTATATTTCCTTATTTCTTTAAAACCCACTTGAAATATTAATAATGCAAATACTTTTATTTATTGAGTGACTATTAGAAGGAGTTCTGTATGCTTTTGGCGGTTATAGAAAAGAGATGCCCCGTCCTAATAATTTCAGATTAGTATCTGCCCAAGGGGGAAATGTCTTTGATTGCTATTTTGTGTAGTAATAACAATAAAATAGAACCTTTACTCTTCACCTTTGCTCCCTTATTCCTTCTTGGACCAAACTACATCCCTGATAAACATGAGAAAAGGTAAGAAATCCTGCTATAGGCTACTCACATACTCTGAGCATGTTATCAGGAGAGGCTAGACTTTGAGAAAAAGACATCATGTTTGGAAAAATAAAGGGTCAGTGAAAAAGACCCTTGTCTACAACCATGGACATAACTCACAGCAGAGATTGTGAGGCTGGTACAGGATCAGAAAAGGTATCATTCTTTTGTCCATGTTATTACTGTGAGTCCTGATAGCATTTAGGATTTGCTGTGAGATTTGATAGCATCTAATTACAACAGCAAGGAAAAGGACAAGGAACCCTGTTGGCACAATGGTTAAGTGCTCAACCTCAAACTAAAAAGTCATCCATTGAAACCCACCCAATGGTTCCATTGGAGAATGACCTTTCAATGTGTGTATGTAGAAAACTCTACAGAACAGTTCTGCCCAGCTACTTAAGCTTGTTATGAGTCAAAATTGACAGCATTGGACAACAAAGATACACACCTCTCCAGCAAAATCAGGGATACTAAAAACTAAACCAATTGTCTGAAGTTGATTCCAATTCATAATGACCCATTAGGGAAGAATAGAACTGCCTCTTGGGCTTCCAAGAGTGTAAATCTTTGCAGAAATGGACTGCACCATCGTTTTAAACCACTGTCCTTTCAGATTATATGACTCATTAATCAGCATTTGATTGGGTTTTCTTGAGAATATAATACTTAGTGTTTCTCTTAGATCTAACTCTGGGGAACTTTAAGAACTGCTAATGGCTGCACCATACCTCAGGCCATGCAGTGTCACGGAGATTGCTTAATCATTCACCATATTGTTACTTGGGTTTTTTTCTTGCTAATCAGTGCTGTTGTACGTAGGGTTTTCAACAACATGTGCAACAGCACTGATTAGCAAGAAAAAAAATATGGAAAATTTTATATCTGTGTATTAATATTCTGTGTATCTTATCTGCAGATTGCATTTGATCCTGACAATGTGGAACAGTGGATGAAGGTAAGGACATTTAAAAATTAAGACAGAAAAAAAAATTAAAAATAAGACATAATGAATCAGAAAAAGAATACTAATAGGTCTCCACTTGGCACATACTGTTATTCCCATATGGCCATCATTTACTGCCTTAGTTTTTATGCTTTTTGTATTTTTTCATTATTCTGTTGCTTCTCATGAAAATGTTTAATTATAAATGACAAGGGAAAAAATGTAGGCATGCCCTTTTACATACTATGAAGATCCAGTGAAAATTAAAGAAGGAGAGGATGAGAACTTTGGAATTGGATATGGTAGACTTATTGTCAGCTGCACATGGCCTCTGGCTTCTTGGAGAGAGGCAGGTATGGAAGGCTTCGGGCGCTTGTGACTTACTCTGTGCCCCAAGTGTGGGCTGGCAGAGCGGACTTCCCAGAAGACCTGGGAGCGGGGGGCTCTGAGCCAGAGTTGGCCAGCATTTGAGCATGCCAGATAATCAGATAATGGTAAAATCATGAGAGGGCGGGACACGACACACCTAGTGTCTTGGGAGACTTAGTGTCCACTGCCCATGGCCTCTGGCTTCTTGGAGAGAGGCAGGTTTGGAAGGCCCCTGGCACTTGTCAAATGTGATAATGGTTACCCACGGTGGACAGTGTTTGGTGGCGCTCGCTGGGTGAAACAGTCTTGGAAGCAGGAGTGGCATCCACTTCCGTATATAGCTTGCCTCTGGAAACCCTATGAACCTGAAGAAAGGATGAAAGTTGCGCACTCAAGTGTCGAGAACTTTCATTCATAGGGTTGCTATGAGTCGCCTATGACTTGATGGCACTTAACAACAACAACAGGATCTCTGAGATACTTGAAAAGCTGTGTTATGCATACCATGGACCGCCACAAAACCAAATCTGTCTTTGAGAGGGTGAAACCAAGTTTCTCCTTGGAGGCTAGGATTTTGAAGCTCTGTCTCACATACCTTGGGCATGGGGGCAGGAGGGACTCTTCCTGGAGAAGGACTTCATGATTGGAAAGGTGGAGGGACAGTGGAAGAGAGGAAAGCCCTGGATGAGATGGATTGATACAGTGACTGGGGCAATGGAGGTAGGTGTATCAGAGTCAGTGAGAACAGCTCAGAATAGGGCAGGCTTCAGAGTTTTAGTACATAGAGTTGCTATGAGTTGCAGGCTACTTGATGGCACATAACAACAACAACAACATTGTGCTTATATTAACCAAGGAAACAACAGATGGGAGCTTCATGTAATAGCAGAATTAATTTTTCTCACATTAGATTCATTGAGAAATAGGGTAGATGTTCTCTTAAAGAGTTTTTTAATACTGGAAGCATTCACGTGAGGTCTAAGTGACCACATAAGGTTTGGACTAATGAAGAATGTATTTGAATGTTCATTGAGAATGGAATTTGGATAAGTAACCTCTGAGTTCTCTTTCAGACTTGAAATGTATGTTTTTGAATTTTGTTGTTTTTCTTATGTGCCGTCAAGTTACCTGCAACTACATATGCCATTTCAGTCAGAATGTACAGCTAAATCGCATTAGCTACATGCCTGTCTGGTGTGAATTTGACAAACTGCTATATGCAGTTCATTTGTGTGCCTTCATTCAGGGACACCTTAGTTTTTAAACTGACAACATTGCTCTTCAGGACTTCAGAAAAGTCCCTGACAGTAGACTATACCAATTGAAGTATTTCAGATAACAGATGTTGCCCTGGATGTGCTCACCAAGTTGTGCCAAGAAATCTGGAGAACAACCACTTGGCCAACT